GAAACCAAGTTAAAAAATATAAGTCGGTTTTGCCAACAGATGTATACCCTCAGCCCACGTCCGTTTATAAGTCTGAAATAAGTATTACGACGTACCAGTTTTGGACTAACAATAATTTATAAATATTTTTTTTTTTTTTTTGAATTTCAAAAGATTTGAAGGAGTGGATCCATAAATTCAATATTCACAACAGATCACTGACTGAGTAAAACATAAAATTATATGTAGTTTAAAGAGATTCATTGACATGTTTCGTTCAGAGATCAAATATACTCGTGCTGTCAGTAGGGCTGCAATTTTTGCCGATTTACCGGCATTTTGACGATTTTACACTCTATATATGGATTTTCCGATATTTGCCTGACGATATTTTAACGATCGACACTGTGTCCCATTACGGAATTAAACGTTGCTAAATTGATTTTATAACATCTAAATTAAGAAAATAAAATATATCTGTCTTTTCTGAAGAATATTCTCAATGTTAATAATGAGACTTATAAATTATTTCAAAAAGAATCAATCTCAATTCACAAAATACGGTTTGTTCCAGAACCTGCAAGAATCTATTAGCTTTGCAATATTTTTCGACATTATAAAGGGAAAATCGGTTATCGTAGTAAAATTTTTACATTTTTGCAGTTCTGGAATAGACTAATTAATAGTCAAATGGAATTACTTTTTAGAAGTGTTCTAAGTAATTCTATAAAATATAATGTTGACTGACTTTATAGATACAAAAAAAATTATAATATGATTAAGTATATTTAGGTTTATATGCAAAATAAGTTATTTCCTGAACAAAACTTCACTCTAAAATTAGTACTTGAATTTTTATATAGAACTTGCAAATCAAATATTGGAACTAATTTAAATTTATTTAAAAGTTTAAGGTTTTTGATACTTGAAGAGTAATGAGAAGAGAAATAATTCTTTGTTAGATATTTCTAAAAATGTCCACACTCTAATTTTAAAAACTGATGAACAATTTTTCGAATCCGAGCTTAGGGAGTTAAACTTTCTAAGTTTTGAAGTTAAATGTGGCGATTCCATTTTGGCTTTCCCAATTTTGTCTGAATTCGTACAACTTTGGAATGAATTTTTAGTTATATAAACCTTAACAAAATTGCATTTATTTGAGCACGTTTAATTCGAAGAAATACTTTATTCTAAAGATTACCTAAAATTAAATAGTTCAAAATTTTTAATACTAAATTATTTAAAATGTATAATAGAAACATGTAATATTTGTAACGTAATTAGAGTTCAGTAGAAAAAAATGATCACATACAGACAAACTTTAAAAAATTGCCCGTTTCGGAAATCACTGTTCATTTTAGTATTCTTCTACAAAGTGATTATTCTTCCATGACTAAAAAAATACACTGTTTTATACGTAGATCTCACCAAAGATATAATATAATATAATTGATAACTTTTTTTTATAAAAATCTACATTTTTATAAAAATTATTTTTTATGTTTATGCTAAATTGCATTTTATGTTTTTATTTCAATGTTAATTTTTATACAAAACTGACTATGTTATACGTTTATATTAAAATGCAAAGTTATGCATATTCACTTCCTGTTCTCTACATGAAATAGACACTTTTGTTTTGTTAAATATGTATTAATTTAATAATTTATACGTTGCCGATTTTTAAAAATGCAAATGACGATTAAGCTGTTTTTTTTTTCTGAAAAATTGACGATTTTTCTTGAAATTTTGTTGGCAGCCCTAGTTGTTGGGTTGGTTTCTCCTGTTCAACTTTCTCTTTCAATCTCAAAATACGTTACATTCTCAAATTACAGGGTTGCATGTCATGGTACTCAAAATAAATTCCCTACATGAATGCAATAAAATGTACTACTATTTTAACTTGACACATTTTTAGTGAAAATTTAAAATGGAATATGGATAACAGACTTTGTCACACAGTGCACAGACTTTGCACAGCAAGATTGATATTGATTGGGCCCTTTACTTATACAGTGTGGTGTAGGGTGCAAGGCCTTTACTATATATTTTATTTACCACAATATCTAAATACATGTTTTCAATGAACGTAACCCAAAAACGAAATGTTTAAAACAATTATAAATAAGAGCGTGTATTGGTGCTATTCGAAATAGATTACAAACATATTTATATATAATATATAATATATTTGATCTATTCCAGGACCTGCAAGAATCTACTAGTTTTGCAATTTTTTTCAATATTATAAAGGAAAAACTGGTTGTCGTAGTAAAGAGTTTTACATTCTTAAATTTCTGGAAGAGAGCAAATATTGAAAACATGTGAACATTTATTTTTTTATTTATTTTTTTGTATAAGCAATTTAATATTTTTCTAAAATTTTTGAACTTTGGTTAATTTGAATGGACTTACGGTCCGTGCGAATTTGATGATTTTAGCTACATTTTTTAAGAGAATTATCTCAAACTTGTTATTCGGAGTTCGTAATAGCCAAGAATAGATAATTGGCTATAGAAGTCCACATTTTCTTCTAGCCACATTCGATATTTGGCATTTTTTAAAATTTTCGTCATTTTTCACCAGACTTTTTACATTTTGCAAGTTAAGTTTCGCCAGAACGAACTTTGCAGCTGTTTTTACTTTTTAAATTTACGTTAGCGCCAAAATCGTACACACCCAGATTGGATTTCACGAAATTTGTAGTCATGTTAACACTTTCTTCCCCCAAAAAATATTTTAACCGAGGAAAAAGGTATGCAACTAGATGTTGTCGCTAGTAGTAAAGGCGGAAGCGAAAAAGCTGCCAAATATCTGAGAAAAGATACTAAAAGTCTGGCAGAAAAATTCTCTAGAAAAAACGCAAAGCCATGTGGAGCCATACCAATCGCAAACAACCAAACAGAGGGTCCAACTAAATAAAGAAGCAGGCACAAAACAGATTTCACTGAACTTTGGAGAGAAAAACTACTTCGAAACGTATAATGCAAAAACCTATGCAAAAAAAGCGCTAAAAAGGCGGGAACATAACAAATACGAAAACCTCATACATACAAAACTGAAATAAAATGCAAAAAAGTAGCATGCTACATTGTACAAATAGAAAGAAACAAACAGGATTCCAAACGTAGGGATAACACAAACCAAATTTTGTGTATGTGCTCCACAAAGGTATTTCTACAAATAAAAACATGACCAACTAAGGTACAACTAATTCCAGTGTATAGAGAACAAACGTACATAAATGTGTTTAACTGAAAAACATTCAACACATTTGTTGTCTGGAATATAGAATTGGTCAGAAAATATCGATTTGTGTTGACTTTAATAAAGGCGCGCAAATCCATTCATAAAAACCATCAAAGCGAATACAAAAGAAACGTAGGGAGAGAGCAAGCCATGAGTTAAAAAAAAAAAACAGAATAAGAGAGTACGTAAAGTAGAGAAGATAAAACATAACAGTGATGGAACATTCGAATTTGGTAATTTTGTGGTAATGTTGGTGGCCTTTGTATCTTTTTACGTCTAAAATGTAAATGATTATAAATGTTATTTTGTATGTGACTTCAAAAAATCAAAAAGTGTTCATCTTTGAAAGTGTGATTTATATATACAGGGTGGGATAAAAAAACTGCAACAAAGTCAAACGCCATAATTTTTTACTTTTTTTACATTTTATGTAATGAAAGCAAAAAAAATGTCGGGAATAGCATCAAATTTTAGAATAAGTTAGGATTTATTCGAATTGGTCACCTTTGGCACGAATTATGGTCAATGAAACCCTCACACGCTGCCCGAATGTTACTCTGCGGTATTTTGGCCCATTCCCGGTGAAGCGTTTGTTTGGGTGATCGACACTTTGATATTTTTTAGTGCCAACCTTGCTTTCCAAAATACTCCAGACACAATACTCCAACGGGTTGGTATCCGAGATTTTGGTGGTCAATGAAGCGAGGAACCTCATTTTGTAACCATTCTTGGTGGCACGTGCTGAGTCCTGTTGGAATATCCTTTGCTTTTTTAAGTCTATTTTCTTTCTGTTGCGATGTAAGTTTTTGCACTTTTTTTAATGGCTTTACCCCGAGCTCATTTTTCAATATTTGCCGAAAGGAATATTGCGATATGTTCGGCTCACGAGTTATTTTTCGGCCACTACGACGCGGGTTTCGATCAAGCCGTTTTTTTACTTTTCGAACCATTTCTGCTGATGTTGCTGTTTTCTTCCGTCCAGCATAAAAATCTAAGTCGATTTTACATTGTTCGCCTATCTGTTGAAATCACGATACAGCTCACATTATTTGACGCAGTGAATGTAATCGTGTTGATGGGGCCCCCTGATCTTCGATATTTTGATGATTTTAGTCATATCAATTAATTCGTTTATGTCGATCAAGTCGCTTCTTTACTTTTCGAACCATTTCTGCTGATGCTGATGTTGCTATTTTCTTCCGTCACTTTCTTAACGTCTGGGTACGCTGTCAGTATCATGGTAACGAGCGATGGTACGAGTCACAAAAGATTTATTCACAAATATCAATCACGTTATCTTTCAATCGAGACAAAAGTCTAAAACTTTGCGCATATTTGAATTTTGTCAGTAGGCAGCCCACGTTTTCGCGTAACCCTATATATCACAACCTTCCGATATTCGGTATTTTAACGATTTAAGCCATATTTTTTGACGGAATTAATTATAATTATAATAATATAATATTAGATAATTTTGTCGAACTGAACTTACTATGGGAATTCTTAAATAATATGAACCAAAACTTGTAAAAAAAACTGCACATTGCGGTCCAATGCAACAAGCTGAGGTCCATGTAGTTGGATTGGTTCACAATATGCTGTATTTTTACAAATTTTAGTTCATAGCCTCTATAGCCATAAAAAGTTCGCCAACAAATCCGCATATAATAAATTCATATAAATCACTGCCATCCATTATTATATTGAATAATATATTAAGAAACCTGTAAAAAAACATCTATTCTCACCTCTTAAAATATATCTATACTTACCTCACAAACAGCTGCTCCTGATTATTTACACGCCAGGATACAACGGTAGCACCTGAAAGATAGTTACCAAATAGTTCATGATTCTCTTATTGATTTGATAATTTTAATGGCATTTTATGCGGAGTAAAATGTCACAAAAAATAAATGTTGCTTTAATTTTTATATCAGGATTGATCACTATCAAGTTTAAACAACACGTACATATTATACTTAACAGTATTATATGTTGTGGGTATTATAAGTTCGATTGGGTCAAAAAGTTTATTGCACCTTATTCTAGACCCATGTGCAGTGAAATTCACAATTATGGCCATATCGTTGGAATACAGCGCCGAAGTTTTGGAAAAAAAATGCCAAAATTGGACAATTTGAGGCGAAGTCATGCAAACATTTGCATAAAATAATCTTCATACATTAAATTATAAGGGCCGTACAAGCATTTCAAATACTTTAACTTAACCAAATCTTTCAAAAGTCACCCTTAAAAACAGATAACTTTCCATTAACTTGGAAGATTGTACGTTTAAAAAAAAATATTCACATACAGTGCCGTAGTACACATTTTGTACTAGCCTCCTGGGAAAGTTGTTGAGTAAAATTATGAGTGCAATGGGTTGTGTGAACATTTAACACTAAGCCATTACTAATATTAATCATTATGATATCCATTTATTTAGTCTATTATCCATATCCATATTATATCCTAGGGTATATTATTCAAATTCAAAACAATGATTTTATAGCCAAATGTTAAACTTCTATCTTCAGAATTCAATTAAACCACTTTATCTTCCCGATCACACCAAGAGTGCATATTATGCTATACCTATTTCAGATACTGTGTTTCTCTACGCTTTACCAATTGTTAATTGAGCATGGATATCAAATTAAGTTCATAACTGTCACTAACTACCAATCTTGGTTTAAAGCCTTACGCTAAATCCTAATTCATATCCCATATTTTAATTTTTCATCAAGTATCTTTTCCAGAACTGCAAGAATTTAAAAGTTTTTACTACGAGAAACGATTTTCCCTTTATGATATCGAAACAAAATGCGTAACTAGTAGTTTCTTGCAGGTTCAGGAAAAGAGAAAATAATTGTAGTTTCTTTTTTATATCTACGCAATGTATTAACATTCAAAAAGAAGAATTTCATTTCTAAAATCAAAACGATATTGATTTTTTTTTAAATAAACCATCATTAGTGGTCCATTTTTCACTATTTTATCTTTATACATTCTCCAAATGACATAACACAGCATTTAGTACTCGTTTTATTATATTTGAAAGCTGTTTCTATTTTATCCAGACATGTCAACAAGATGGCAAAGCATTTAGATCCAAGTCCTTTTTGCCCACATGAGAAATTTCAAATTTCTACCTTCAGTGGTGTCTGTCAGTTTCTTAGTAATGACTAAGTTCTTTTACATTAAGATATTGTTTTATATACCCTCGGCCAAACTTTGAAGAGTATATTGGTAAACAATTTTCGTAAAGCGACAATATAACGGTATTTCCTGATAGTCGGTAAGTCACATTTCCAAATGGAATAGTTTTAAATTCTAGAGTTCGTTGTGGGTTCTACATCTTGTGGTAGAACAATGTCCACATAGGAAAATCTTTCCCTAAAACCTCATATAATAATACCTCTCGATATTTGGTAAGCCACTTCTAGAGTTTGTAATGGGATTTACATTCTTTATGGGAACATTGTATGTATCTGTGACAGTAGGTTGTCCGAATAAGTGCATGTTTTCTTATATACCCCAAATTTGTGGTATCTCGGAATATTTGAGTTTTCTGATATTTTAGACACATTTTTCAAGAAAATTGTTTTGAATGTTGGTATTTTGAAGACTTTTACCAAAACCAGTAACCAATTTCATTTGAAAAAAATTAAAGTTGGCCGAAAATTAAATCTCGGTGGGTAGTATAAAATTTGTACATCAATCATCGTTACCCGTATACGATAAAACACACAAAGTATAGGTACAAGCTCACATGGATAACTTGACTCTAAATTCCCTGGAACAGAGAAAAGGAGACGATGCGACGTGGTACCATTTGGCCGTAGTTGAAGGTATAAAAATCTTAGTATGTTATATAATGTTAAATTGTCGTTTATTCTCATGGGATTTCTGGTCTCTCTTCTGTTCTCATTCATACAATTTTTAAATTACTTACATAACCACATTATAAAAACCAGTAAGAAAAGACAGAAAGAAGAAGGCGGTGCTGACTTTATGATACCCAACACCACTTTGAATATTAAGAGAGTCGCGTGTAGCAAATAAACTTTCATATTGTTCATTAAATTTGAAGTAGGTTAAATCTAAACCATAAAAGCGTCTAAGCAAACTTTTAATGTATGTGACCTCTCGAGCCAAATATCGTTGCTATGGAGTTAATGTTATAACTTTCAGAACACTAAAATATAACATCGGATGAAACAACTTTGTTTGGTCAAATGTATCGACCTGACGTATTATTTACATCAAATTAAAGGGAAATATATATAGGAGGTGTACACAATATCTTGTACCGTAAATCCTTGTTATAATACGGATATGGAAGTTATAGCTATATCTGAACCGAAATTTAGAATCCCATTTGGTCTAATATTACGCATTTGGCGAACAATGTACTTGACATCGAACAAAGATATATATGGGAGCTATATACAAAAGCTATGTGAACTGATCTCGATAAAATTTGGCAGATTTATTTCTGAGCTGTATCTGATATCTGGTATCAAATATCATTGTTATGAAGTGTATATTCCGAATGTGGGTTCTATAGTTATGTCTGCCGATTTTCATCATTTCATTTTCAATGTCGGGGACTTAAACCCAAATCGGATGAAACATATATGGGAGATGTAGCTATATCTGAATATATATATATATGATATTTATATCTGAACTTTATCAAATTTTGCCTTATATTATGCATTTGACGCAAAATAAAACTGAAATATATGTGGGAGTTATATCTAAATCTGGACCGATTATCACAAATTTCATTAGGATTTGTCCTTGGGACAAGCAAATCATCTGCCCAAAATGTTATGACAATCCAGCAATGCATTCTGTTCACAAAAATAAATCAATTCAGAATGTGATTCTATAAAGATCATCAAACGGAACTACGGGTCCATACCGTTTTCTTTTGCCATCTTTTTCTTTAAAAAAAGTAACAATTCCGACAGAAATTATCTATCTAAACTAATAATCAACGCCCAGACACCACTGAAGCTGGAATAAATTTTGGTGATGCGAAGTCAAGCTGGGTTTTTCGAAATACGTACTACAACGGTACAAAATTGTACCGATCAAATAGAGCTTAGAATTTGTGTATGTAGATTTGTCTATGATAAACAAAAAGGAGCGGTTACGTACCAATCGTAACAAATGGTAATAAATTTAGTGTAAAATAGTGCTAAATTTCGCATAAATGAATTATGAATTTGGGATCAAGGTGAGTATGTAGCATTTCGATGAGATGAATTTAAAAATGTGTACGAAATGTACTAAACGATACAAAACTGTCGAGTCACTGTAAGCAGGCAGGATGATTTGGAAACTCGTACATTACGTTTAAAGAAAAGTTCTCAATTTTATAATATTTGCAGTGTGACCAGATCTAAAGTAGTGTTTCAGCTAAAACAGCATAAAAATGATGCTAAAAAATGCCAAACAAAAAAATTAAAATGCCAAAAAATAATGCTAAATATAAATACGTTTTTAAACCTTGCAACACTATGTGTTGGGGGTATTATAATTTTGATTGGGTAAAAAATTATGTAACACTTCGAAATTTTGGCTTCCCACATAAGAAAGTATATATTGATCTACCAATCTCGCTAAGCTGAGCCGAACTAGCTATGTTATATTACAATCACGCTACAGGTCACAACGCATGAAAAGATCTCAATAAAGATGTGGATATTGATTTTGTGATATTTTTCATTTCCATTTTGTCACATTTTTGTCGCATGAGATATTTTCATTTTGACTTACAATATTGAATTTTACATTTTGTAATATTTTTACTCCTTACAACACTATATGGTTAGAATATTATATACCGGGCAGATTTATGGCCCGATCCTCACGAAATATTGGATGGAGGTGGGGTTAGTGTCAGAATAGAAGCCTTATGTTTTTGGAGATGATTGCAAAATATTCAGGGGTTCAAATGGACCAAATACTGAAGGTTTTCTGACACGTCATAATTATCGTCCGATCCTTAGAAAATTTTAAGTGGGAGTTCGGTATCGGCCCTGCCAAGCATTTTGGATGGCCATCGGATAACAGTTAGCGGATAAAATGGGCCCCAATTTTTGTGGGAAAAAATACCAAAAATGTCTATTCCACCGAAATGCTGAAAGTGAATTCCAGGCGAATTAAGAAATACACGAATGGCGCACTTCTTATCTTTTTTACAACAATTCATATAGAGAAACCTTAATTTACAAATATTGTTCTCTCTTTTCTTAAGCTTTAATATAGGGTCCAAACCATGCAATTTTTTAGAGATGACAGGTTTTTGGAAAAAGAATTTGGTTCCAGATTCATGAAGGTTATTCGGAAGGAGGACCAATAAGGTCCATCATTTAAATGAAATTTAATATGATTTTATTAAAATGTACTAAGTCCTGCTACTGAAAGTTAGAGACCGAATGATGATTATAATGAGATCGTTTGTAATCTTAAACATTCGCAACCTTTATTTAACCTAAAGTAAAGATGTGAATTCATAGTGTATAATATCATTCTATTTCTAATTTCTGCTTTTATAAGGTTCATGCCACTGAAAACTCTTCCAACTTCTGCGTTACTAAAAGGTAAAACTAGACAATTCATAACAAAAGAAGAGAATTCCTTGAACGAGTTTTCATTTAAAGCACTTTTAATTTCTTATACAATAAAAAATAAATCGTTGAGTTTATGTTTGCCCATTCATATGTACTTAACGTTTGCCGTTGCTTTTCTAAAATAGAAATTTCGTTCAAAATGTTCATGTAATTTAATTTTTTAGATTTAAGAAA